AACCACGACTGATCACCGACCGAGGATCATCATTTTTCGTAGCACAATAGTAGTATGTGTGATCCGCACACCTTCCGAGTACCCCTCCGCGCACTGGCTCCTCTTCTTGTCGTCGGAGTTCTTCCCTACCTTCGACGCGTGCACCTATTGCGTGCGCCCGCGAGCTCGTATCTCTTTGTGTCTGTATATATGTATGTATATATGTATAGATGTCTAGATGTGTCTTCTGTACTACGTGTATGTAATGGTTTTGTATATGTTTGTGTGGAGAGTGTGTAATTCGCGTAGATGGATATCGAAAGCCAACCGTGCGGCAGCCTGACCGAGTGGCGACTGAGACTCACCCTCCGTGGCGGCGCTGACTACCCCCCGCACGAACACCACAGTCCTCTGACTCCCCCCACCCGTTTTTCCCCATCTACCTTCCTCTCGTCTACCCACATCCACCACCACTACCACCGCCGTCACCCTCCCCACCTTTTCGTTTCTCGACCAACCCGCTACCCTCTCTCTTCTGCGTGACTTCGTCGTCTGAATTTCTTCGGATTTCTAACACGCCTTTGCCTGCACGGCAATCAGAGGGGTTGGGGGGTAGTTTCGAGGAAACTTCTTTTTTTTCGCTTTCCACCCATGCTCGGCCGAGTTTCCCTCCGATCGGGATCGATCCAGAGAGGGGGGGGATACTGTCGTAACGGTTTGTAACGACGACCTTCTCTCCACGTTGGTATATTGCCATGGTCATGGGTCCCATGGAACCGTTCGAACCTCGGGGAGACCGACCGAAGTTTTTCTTCTCCATAGGGGAGGTTGAGATTCGCCGGATCTTCTCATTGGCACTGGTCATGGATCGTGAAAAGGATTAATAGAAGTTTCTTTGGTATCACCTCCTCGAGGGCCTACCTTTTTCTCGCACGTTTAACGACGAGACCCGTCAATATGACGTATTGCCGATCTCGTATTTTACCGATTGCTGAAATTGTAATCGTGCTCTCGGCAGTATTTCTGTTGACGTTTAATTCACTGCATATTTTATGTTGTAGTAGATTCTACTCTATGTTATGTATATTATTTTATTATATAATTTAATTTAATGTACATTCAATGCTCGTAGTTCTAGTGTTAATTGGGAATGTAGCGATGTTAACCCCTTGCCTTATAGTTGGTCCCGTGGTCACGATATTCAATACAGTAAATCCTCGATGACTGTTCGAAGGATTAACTAAGGAACTAATGGTCATATGCGCCTATCGCATTATTTCTGGGAAGCTAGTAATAGTATTTCCGAAGACTATAGACGTCAAGAGAATCGTAAGCGAAGGGGTTAAGGACGTGTCTCTACGGGGTTTGAAAACGCGACAAATTGATGAAAATTCCAGTAACCCAGTTAATATGTGATTTTCAACCCCTGAAAGACTCGTAAGGCGAAGGAATTGTGTATCCAAGAGAGCACCCTCGGATGTCTCTGTTTTTACTGTACGATTCACGGTATGTTCTACGGAATCGATCGAAATCGACAGGGGTGGGGGGGGTGGGTTCGATGTTTCCGGGGATGAATTCGGACCGCGGGGTTTATTAGGTTAATGGAGATACAATGCACCTACGTGCGTCGACACGGGCGGGCGAAGACGCCGGATTCTGCGAACGAACGAAACGACGAACCGCGAAACGGAGACGGACGAACACCCGACCAGGAGCGTCTCGTTATCCGCGAAAACGTGTTTACCGTTTTAATGAACGACGCTTTAATTACTCGACGGACTTTATGAAAGACGCGGCTGCGACCATTGTGCTGCCCTCGGAACCGTCCTCGAGGATATCAAAATGTAAAAAGATCTGGCGCGAATGTGTACTTTTATATTGAATTCTAATATCGTTATCGTGCGAAAATACATCGCTGAGAATTTAGATCGGTGGCTGATAACGAATCAGTGAAAACACAACGATATAAAGAATAAGCATTTAGAAGGAACGAGGAAGATTAAGGGGGAAGTCATTTGGAATATTTTACGGTGACTCATTTAGACTGCGGATTTTTATGCAAAATGAATAAATAAATAGAAATAAAAGCTGTCAAGCCTAATCGTTGTTTCATATGTCTGTGAACGAATATGTGAGTGACTGTGTTTCGGAAGGAAAAGAAAGATATTAACCCATCATCGGAGAGTGACTAGGGGTGAAACAAGACACACAACCCCTGTACCGTGATAGCCAGTTCACGGTAATGCACGGTGGTTCGACCCGATCGCGACGTTCCTGAAGAAAAAGTGGGAAACACGGGGGAGACGATGGAATGAAAGACGGAGGAAGGAAACGGGGGAAAGTGGGAGACGAGAAGGAAGTCGAGGGTGGTTGGCCAGCGATCGAAGTTACGTTGAAGGGAGGGCGCCACCTCGCCGGTGGCCACCCCATTTTCATCGGGTCCTGCGGACCCTGCACTTATCACCTTCTATCATTACCATAGGGACATCCTATCCTATAGATTTATCGTTTTCCTTTAAGGAATCTCCCTACTGTGACGGGTCAAAAAAAATCGATTTTTTTTTTTTACATTTCAAATCGAAACTTGTACACTCGCAATAAGAATAAAATTCTTTTCGTATCAGGGAAATGATTAACAATAAAGTAATTTTAAAGAGTGAAATTGTCAGAAAAATCGTAAGGCAAGAGGTTAACCACGCCGTCATTACGTTTTCGACGAAGGCTGAATCGGACCACGTGGTACCTACATGATCTTACCAAATCAGCTTTACTTTAAACGGTATTATAAATGTTCGTGTCGACCGCCGATGATCGATGCGAAACGAGAAATCGCTCGAGCATATATTTCCTTTCTTTCTAGCAGTCGCGATACGGAAAAATACATTTGGACAGGAGCCAGTCGAAGGTTCGTGTATCGTGCTCTAAATACTCGGTAATCGCGCGGTAATTAATTCTACACGGAAGGAAAGTCATTATTTTTCCCTCTTTTTCCCGACGATCGATCACGAAGAGGAATAATCCGAGACGGATCGTCGCGGTCTTTCCGGAAATATTTACGCAAGCAGGATCTGTCGTCGAAATGGATTAAATAAAACGATGGGTAAGTGACTTCGAGACGAAGTGAATCGTTTATATGCTTGAAAATTTTATACGAGATAAGATAGAATGCGTGTCGAAGGCGACTCGTCGGATTTCGAGGTTGCTCGCGTGTTCGAAATGGATCAGTGTGTCGCCGTCGTTGCGCAAACTACCGCGAAAAAGTTGCTAGTTAGGCGGCTGAAATGCGGTTAAACGCGATAATTTCAAAGGCCAAACACACCCTTGCGGGCGCGAGATTTCGTTGAGCGAGGTTTATCTTTGTGAATAAAAAAGAAAAATCGAAAGTGCAGAGGGGCGATGAAAGCGAGGATACGTCATTAACGAGCACGTCGACGACGTCGAAGAAAGCATTGATATTCGCGGCACGATCGTACGTCGTATTATTTAAGTTTTCTTTTTTCTTTTTCCTCCAGGCAGCGAGCTACCTGCACAGGCGAGCTGGAAGACTGGTTCGTCATTTGGTATGCCATTAATTAATTTAGGGCCTCGAGAGCCAGACGCGTCTCGCAATTAGTGTCACGAAATCAAAATGGCACACGTGCGCCACAGCTGCCTCGTGTAAATATTCCGCCCTGATCTTAGAAGTGCGCTCTTTGAATAGCACCACGACTTTCCGCCGATCTTTTCCAGCAAAAGCCCGTTAACCGAAGTGAACGACAGAAACAACTGAGAGAAAGAAGTAAAGTAGTCGAATCGGGGATTGCCAACGAGTAAATTACCCAAGAAAATTAAACAAATATCACTGTTACAGAAAAACGCAAATCGAGTGACGGAGGACAGAAGAGGGGAAAAAAATAGCAAATCACACGGCACGCGATTTCGCGATTTGCAGGTTCATGCTTCAAGGACACATCCAGTTCCCGCCCCCCCTAAAACAAAGTATAATTCTCGCATTTATTGTACCGCGGGTCTTCTCTGTAACCTGCGCAATATTACTTTTCTTCGTTTCTCGAAGTCGACCAAGGTCAAGTAAAAGTAGTTAAACGTTGCTAACCCATTAATCTGGTTTCATATAAGTCGCCGTTGAGCTTCTTCATCCCCTTTCACGCAGCTATATCCGGTTGCCTTCTCCACAAGGGCTGGTCAGCTCGTCGTGGGCAGTAAACATTCGATCTTTCGCGGAAAATTATCCCCGCCTCCCACTCCATCTCCACGTTATCCATAAATTCGAGCCGGTCGGAGTCTTGTGTCAGAACGGGGTAAGAAATCCATGAACGCAATGCGGAAGAAACAGAATATGTGTGTGCTTCGCGGCACACGCATGTACGGTGCACGCAGAGACCGCCCCGTGACGTGACGTGACCCGTGCCAGGGTTGGCCTTGATCCACATTTTTCCCTCCGTCCCGCTTTTTCCTTCGTGTCGGGCTGCGTAAGCGGAAACCGGTAGTAAATCTTGCAACGCACTGCCGGATAATGTTCTCTCTTGAGGATCGAGCCCGATTTCAACCCCCCGTTTTCCTTCCACCCAGCCCCACCCCCACCACTCTCCATCCGCCATTGAATTATCAAATCATCGATTAGGTATGTTTAATGCACAAGATAAAACGTCCTGTGAGTTGGTAATCAGTTTCCAAATATTTATGGAATTTAAGTACCATCGTGCTGTTAATAACAAAATTAAAAAACAATATTAAAACGTCTGATGTTGGGTCGAAGATGACCTTCGCGATTTAATCTCTATCCAACGCTTTCCGAACACCCGTAAAGATTGCAGTAATGGACTTACGAGCCACTGCTTTAATAACTTTGGCGTAGTTAATGGTCATAAACGGGCCATTTTATCATCAATTTCAACTTCACCTTTTATCTGTTTTATCATCCGAATATCCGTCGATTACCATCATTTGAAGATGTAATTGTTTTCGGATGCATGTTCCAAGAGGAATCAAATGTTTCCGAAGAATATGTTAGCGAATTTTAAGAACTGTTTATTATAACAAAAATTGGACATCAACAAATTAATATTTTATTTACAAGATTATAAACAAACTAGATTCTCCGTCGAACGTTCATTCCTTAGATTTCTTCTCTTTGGTATCCTTGAGTTCCCCTTTTTCCAGGAGAGCACTGGTAATGCCCACTTTTTTCAATTCTTCCACTAGCTCGCCGTTATGATGCATTTCCAGAAGTATATCGCACCCACCCACAAATTCCCCATTTATGAACACTTGAGGTATTGTGGGCCAATTTGAAAAATCCTTGATACCTAAGTACAGAAGAAACTGGTAGTGTTTTATCATTTATTTTGCTGTTGTTTTCCACAGAGAACAGTCATTACTTTGCCTAAGTTCTTCATCTTTAAGGACATCGTGTGCGTCATACTTAACATTGTGCATCCTCAATATTTGGACAACCGCATTACTGAAACCACACCTAGGTTCTTCTGGAACACCTTTCATGAACACAACCACTTTGTTTTGCTATAATAAAAATTGACATCTGATACACTGTTATTCAAAATGAAAAACGTGTAACGTTGATGCTCCCACTCCATTTTAATTCAATTATTTCTTTAACATAATTCATAGGCGATAAAACGCTCATCGATGTCAAAAACTTTCCAGGAAATACATATATTTATACTTGCTTACGCTACAGAATTAGATGTAGCCGACATTTCGCAACTTAAAACGTACACTCAGAAACAGTATCATAATGAATTTAATTCAAAATATATTACAAATATTCGTGGACTCATTTACCTTAACGAGGTTAGATACCTTATCCAGTTTCGTGGTGAAGCTTCTGATTCCATTATAAAACCTAAGTGGAATCATTTCTCTAAACTATTGTAGTTAAAGCAGAAATCAAATCTTTAGTTTTTTTAACGAGAAACTTGCAATATCAGATACGTTATCCAATCAACGAATCAATTGCGAATAGTTGTTGGTTACTTTGTGTTGCCATCTTGGTTTCGCAATTTCTGACAATTGCTTGGCCATCTAGTGGTCAGATATTAGTAAACGTTGTCCCTGACGGTATACAACCAGTTGTCGATACTAGCTGTTTCACGTTTAAAAACTGTACACTAAAATAAACCTGACATGCAATCATGTCGCAAATGATCATCTCGGGGCTGTACATTGAAGGCCAAATTTCCAGAAATTGATCAATTGACGAGTGTCAATTAGAAACCTCGTCGGTGTTTCAACCATTAATTCCAAAGATACCATCATTTTTTTAATTTCTTAGTTCATCAACCTTTCCGCTAGATAACACTATCATTCACTTTCCATACTTAATTTGGTATTTTATTGAAATATTTCATTATAATGAACTTTCTGCAAAGTTTTGTTCCAAAAGGTAATTCCTAGTATATTCAGTAACCTATTCGTTATTGGATAGTCAATTAATAATGCAGCAATTATTTTTTTTACAGAGGGCGTGTACAAGAAACATGGCGGCGCCATCTTGTAACAGAAATATACTAATCGACTAGTAGCTTGCGCGTTTTACCGTAGATGGGGCGACAAGTATTTTCAATCTTGTTTGTTACATGTAAGAAATTAAATATTTATTGGATACGTCACAATTGACAGTTGTTTCTGCACAGTATTGTTTGAAGAGGCTTCAACAACAATCTAACATTGCTGAGAAAATATATAATCAAAATTTGTTCAACTGTTTTGCCATTTGTTTATAATCCGTCGAATATTTAATGCAGGAAAGAGGCCCCCATTTCGACTAATGACATCCAGGTGATTGGAATAGAGTAAATGCCTATTTATTTTCAACGTAATATCTTACAGCGATAATTACAAATTAATTTACAATGCCTAAAATAATTGATTAACGTCGAAATCGTTTTAAAACAATTAATGTTTCAAATTTCGTAAGGAGCAGCAAGATAGAGAATACCATTTCACCAGTGCCACTTCAAATTCGATCTACATACGTATTAACGTTCATGGCCTACTTCCATACGGTGTACGTGCAACACGGATCTTTAGTATGATACTTTTTAGATAATCTTTCAATATATTGCTTGGTCAGAAAACCAGAACAATAATAACGAACTTTTTCGTTATAAAGCGTACTTGGTATCGACTCTGTTTTTTTTCTGTGATACGATTACGTGAATATCCATAAATGCTATGAACTTATATCTTATCTTTGTCGATACGATATCAGTCGACCAAGACCACCCCAAAATATGTTTCTGTGGGCCCAATGACAAAGGAATTTGCGACAAACTTTCAGTCTTGAATTTCTAGTTTAATTTCGAATAAAACATCCTACATACTAATTTATCTTATTCGACGTTTTACTTCTAATCATATTCTTCCGATTACGGTCATCCAGTTTCGTTCATTACCGTGACGTGCATCAGTGAAAAATTGTTCAAGAGAAAACTCGTTAACCGACGCTACACGATCGCAGCACGTGGATGTCCTTTACGAATCTATGACGTCACGTCGAAATCATGGTCACAGCAACCGATCACCATGGAAACTCGCTTCGTAAAACCTACGCGAGGGAGAACGCCCACGAGATTTTAAAGTTCGTTCGGTATACGCATCGGGGGGCACAGATTCACGGGCTAAGTCCTTGCGATAGGTCACGGATGAAAGCCACCGAAAATAGCAACAGGTAAAATGTTAGTAAAAATACATACGCTAACGGGGGAATTGGCGCTTTCACCGTTGATTCATGAAAACGAAATTCAGGCGTGCACGACGAATTATCGGTAAACGTAAATTTTAAAACGTATGCTCATTATTTATTTTGCAGTAACGAACAATACACGCTGAACGTGTTCTGCGACACACCGAATGAAATTATTCTCAAGTCCACCGAACAGAAAGAACGCGACCTTCTAACGGACACGAACATTTTTTGCTATTGCGTAATGCACCGACAGGCTTATATATTATCCACGGGTTACACGTTCGCGTTATAAGATTACGCAGTGAAGTTCACAGAAATAGTTTTCCTACTTCTTCCTCCCTTCCTCTTTGCTTTCGCGTGACGTCCGTTTACAATGTCGCGAATAAAGGAGCCGGAGTTAACAATGACGTAGCTGCTGGATTTCCAAGCCGCGAATGAATATGTATGTATATGTATGTCGAGTGTAGCTCACGGAATGGTTACAAGCTGTTCCGAAACGAGCGGAACCACTGACATTTGAAAGAAAAAATTTGCGTAATGTCGAACGTTTATAAGGAACCGTGTTGCGATACATATAAATACTTACACGCAATAATAACACGTAAGCTTATAACAGATCCCCTGTGCGTTCCAGTTACTTTTTCCTGTGGACGAACCTGCAATTGTGTCCTACTATTACAAGTAGCAAGAAATATGATTGTGTACGAGCTTTAAATTTAATAAACAGAAGGCAGGCTGCGAGAGAACCACGAAGGTCAGTCGCAAACGGAATAAGGGGACACACAACTTCAGAGGAGAGAACGTTAGTGGGATCTCACTGTATGTTCGGGGCTCCGATTGTTGTACTATTTTACGTGGTGACTCGCTTTAACGCGACTATACCGTGACGACGGGTTTCACTTTGCCGCAATGTGGCCCGCTACTGCCAGTTAATGCATTTTCACTCGTGGGACGGTGACGCTAAATGATACGGTTTCCTGTTCACAGGAAACTCGAAACTCTCACACTCTGTCCCAGGTATATACCGCCAAAACTCTAGCACACGCAACTTGGTTGGGATATACGTGTACCTAACCTGCTAAAAAACATCGCTTCACGCAAAAATTTTACCAACCACGCGTTACAACCGTCCGGAACTTTTTTCGCGTAAATAAACCCGTTGAAGCACCGTTCTTTTGTCGCGTTGGAAAATGATATACAAGTATATACCATATTTGTAGGACGTAGGGAATCACATTCTCGAAATCCGTGTCAGTGAGATAAGTGTATAAACGATTTCGGTTAGAAGGTGAGGCTCAACGTTCGTCAGGTCGTGTTTCGATTATCCCCCTAGCGGGCGAGTAGGTTCAGGTGGGGGAGGTTGTCGGCACTGGCAGCACTGCGACGAAGAACAAAACGTGTCGGAGCGAGAAGGAACGGGCGAACTGAGAACGGGACAAGGAGAGAATGTTTCGTGAAGGAAGAACGCGGCGAACGTATATCGGGATCCATGGCACGCGCAACGAAGAGAGAGAGAAACCTTACGCCGATTCCTCTCGAGGTCGAACAGGGAACGAAACAGAAAAAGATAGACCGGTCGGTCGACCGTACACTGGCGCGCGCGCGTATGCTTACGCACCGAACGCGTTGTCGGCGATGCGTTTCTCGACCAGAAACAGGAGAAAAAATGATCGTGCACAGGGCGTTTACATAGTGGCCCAGGCCAGTATTGAAAATACGATAAAAACCGTAAAATGGCTTTCGAACAGAGAGCCTGACCCTTTTTCTTTTACTACTGACTCATAATAAAATTCAAGTGTCCGTGGTGGGATTAACTTGTGCCGACCAAAAGCTTTTCTTCTTTTTGCACGGAGGTCGAAGCATCATTTTGCAGCTGTTACGCGAAACACAACAGATGACTCTGTTGGCCGTGTAAAACGATCGAAAATGACCGACAAGTAATTGAATGGAAGACAAAAAAAAGAAGACTCAAACTTTGGCAGATGCAGTCAAAGGGGGAACAATGTGAAACAGAAACGGGGACCGATAGTTCCGGCGTCACAGAGAGAGAGAGAAGGAGACGCAATCGCGAGTAACACGAAAAGAAGAAGACACGAATTGTGTGCAGTAAAGTGGGAGGAGAGAGAGAGAGACGGTGTGCAGGGATAGAGTAGGGATGAAGAGAGAGAGTGGTACGAAGTGAGTGCCACGCGACGCGTTGGGCGGTGAAAGAGAGAGAGGAGAGTGGCGCGAACAGAGGGAAGGGGGGTTAGGGGAGAAGTAAATCGAGTGGCTTGGTGAGCGGTGGACGGTATCCTGAGAGAGTCAGTGGTGGGCGGCGAGGGGAGCGAGGACAAATGACGAGGCGCGCGAGCCATCAGGGCCGTATGCTAGAGAGCACGCGACACGCGTTCCAGGAGCCGTGGTTGCTTACCGGTGGCGACCTTAACCCTTGACTAGTTAATAAAAGTCACGAAACTGTTGGAAGACAATGCGATCTCGGAACGTCTAAGATTCGATGGTGTTCTCCCTTTTATCGATACTTTGCTCGAAAATACACCTGGACTCGAACCCCATTTGGTAAGATACACACGTCTGAAACGAAACTCGATCAATTGGCATTTAGATCAGATAGTGTATTGTAACGTGAAACATTGAAAAATATAGTTCCGAAATATTTATTCATAATTTCGTGCTCTTTTCCTCGATGTTTAGTCGACAGTAAACATTCATGGAAAATACGAATAACTGAGGCACGTTGAAAGTCGAACCGAAAGGTGAGAGAAGCCAGCGGTCACGATAAATTCAGCTTCGGCAGCTGCTCGGACCGCCTCGACAATATCCAGCCCAAAAGACAGAGAATCCTCCAGCATCTGTCTCGTTTCCCGAGAACCATGCTAAAAAGTAGCGGGTTAGAACCAAGGAGACGCATAACTTTGTGTTTACTGGCCGGTTACCGGTAACCCGGGCTGGCCGTAACCCGAAGAATATGGGAACGATGATGGGAGCCTTTTCGCGGAGGACGGGTGAGGTTAGGGAAGGGAGAACTGTGAGTCGGCGGGAATGAGAAGCGAGAGACACCGAGGTTGGGAATAAAGTCGAAAGAGGATGCGGGCCGAGGGAGAAGAGACGTCGAAATAGAACGGGAAAAGGAACGTGGAGGCCGCGGGAGGAACTGAAATAGAGAGTGGAAGAGGATTCACGAGTGCCTCGCGAACTTCTCTCTGCATTAACGGTCGCAGACTACAAAGTGTACGAGAGAGAAATGAGAGGTAGAGAGAGCGTATACGCTCGACGCGGCGCTGAGACCAATAC